CATCATGATGGGCTTTCTTATTCCAAATAAATATCCACTTTAAGACCTCATTTTAAAGAAGTTTCTCTCCCTCACCTTGTATAAGCTCTAGACCTCACAGAAATTCAATCTGCCTCTACTGGCCGCAAATGAAAGACAACCCACAGAGCATTATTGACCAATTGTGTGTGAAAAGCACTAATTCTAGTGAAAAGACTTCCCTGTACCCATCATCCACTCATCCCCCAGTGCTGTCTCCCACCCACTCACACATCCCACACTCTTGCTCATCAATTCTCTGTCACAATCACACAACTTCCTTCTAGTTTTTCCACCCACGATTCCTTAAAGCTTTGCGAATACCATTTCCTATCAACCCTTTCTTTCCTTTTACCCCAGGAAAACACTAATATTTCTGACAGCATCTCCATGGGGACGAAGAAGAGGAGGAGTTGTAAGAAAGAACAAGACTGGAAAAGCAGAAGTCACTGAGCCATGGCTACAGCAGATGTTCTCAAAGTGGCTGGGGGTGGTGGCACTGACAGAGGATATAAGGTAAGTGAAGGTTTGGAATAGTAAAAAATTGCTCCAAAAACCTGAAGGACTTCATAAATTATGGTGCACATTCAGTGTGACTATTAAAGCTAAAAACAATAAGAAATTTCATCAACCTAAAAGGTGCCATTATGTGAAAGCAAGAGACTCTACTAGAATACGAAAAATGTGCCCTGTTTTATGACTACATAGGGCAAATGAGTGCAAATGGAAATGATATGCAAAAGTGAGAATGGTCATATAACACATAATGTGATTATGGGTAATGTAACTTTTTCTTAAAACTCTCCTTAATGCTGTTATGTTATTTTCCTTTTTTTTTTTTTTAAACAAGAACTTTCCCATACCATTGATGGACATCCAGTTTAGGTTGTTCTCTGTCTTTTGCCTTAGCTTTAAGTGTCCATTTAAAATCAGTACTATTATGCCATGTAATTGCAAAAATGGGACTGAGGCAATATGGAATACAGAAAGAGTGTGTCCTTTTGTGAGGTGACCTGCTAGTATTAAGACCTTAGCCTAAAGCTGCTATTTGTAAATTATCAGTGAAAGATATGACGAGGATGAGAGCCTCAGTGAAGAGGTGAAGACAATCATATACAATATGAGAAAGCACCCCAGGGGATTTTGAATCATACCTGGCCTTCAGACATTTGTTGAGAGCCACTGCTCTAGAAGATGATGACAACTGCAATCAATTATTTTGGTTCTTAAAGCTGAGCCATGGACGTGCGCATGTGTTTGCGTGTATGTATACACACGTATATGTGTATAAACATAGATGTATAATATATATAAATATTCAACAGAGTGATATAGTTCATCAAGAGAGAAAATTAGAAAGATGATCATCCCAGTTCATTGTATTAATCAGGTACTTTTCTATGATCAAAATGGATAGAAAAGGGGGATTATTTCTTATTTTTGTATTCTTTTTTTACTAGAACCATACCTTTAATTTATAAATAGAAAACATATACATTTATGGCTATATCATCTAACAATCTGTGTAGGTCATGCCATAAGGTAAGATAAAGTTATTCATAACCAGAAAAAATATGGTCTTGGCCACAGTAAGTCAGAGGTATCTGGGTTAGAGAATGTGCTCCAGGAAAGGGCAGTTCATCCACACCCCAAGGAAAATGAGAGTTCACCCAGGCAACTGACATGAACTGATTCTGGAATTAACTAAGGATGGTATGTTGTGGCCTTTGTTCAATATCTCTTCAGCTGGAATTAGCAAGTTCTCCTTACCTAAGAGGAAGTACAGAAAAATGCCTCAATTCTAAGATTTGCAATTCTGACTGTTTGGGATATACTTTGCTAATCCATTTTTGCCTCTCCTTTCTGGCTGTTTCAGACATAAGAACTAGTTTAGAAAACCACAGATCTCAGTTTCTTTCCCATTAGTCCAAACACCTACTCCCAACAATCCCAAGTTACTACAAGCCATCACTGAAGAGATGCACAGTAGCAGATCATTACGTAGTGTTTCTACTACACAAACTTGACAGCATAAACAACTTCAAGGAGAATAGGTACTAGTGAAATATAATAAAATAATTTGGAAGTGAAGACTATATTACTTTTAATGTTTTTTTAATGTTTATTCAATTTTGGGAGACCGAGAGAGACAGAGTGTGAGGAGGAGAGGGGCAGAGAGAGAGGGAGACACAGAATCCAAAGCAGGCAACAGGCTCTGAGCTGTCAGCATAGAGTCCAACGTGGGGCTTGAATTCATGGACTGTGAGATCATGACCTGAGCCAAAGTCAAAGGCTTAACTGACTGAGCCACTCAGGCGCCCCTATTACCTTTCCTTTTAGTGTGCCCTATTTAAGAGTAAGTTTATATCATTAAAAAAAATTTTTTTTAAGTTTATTTATTTTTGAGAGAGAAACAGAGAGAGCAGGTTGGGGACGGGGGGAGAGAGAGAGAGAGAGGGGGGAAATCCCAAGCAGGCTCCGCACTCTCAGCACAGAGCCTGATGGGGGGCTCAAACTCACAAACCATGAGATCATGACCTGAGCCAAAACCAAGAGTTGGACACCTAACCAACTGAGCCATCCAGGCACCCCAGTTTATGTAATTTTTAATCATGGCTATATTTAACTACTGAGTCACAAAATTTCTGAAAGTTCAACAATCAGCATCTCAAACCAATAGAAGGAAGATTCAGCTTACCAAACCAATTAAATCAAATCTTCTGGAGATGGGGGCATTGATTTTTTTTAAAGGTCCCTAATGATTCTAATATGACAGCTAAGATTGAAAGACCAGTGGTCTGTGCTAAATAAACCCTGAGGATATGGCTGATGTCCAGGTTTCTTGGAATATGGGGAAAGGAATTTATTCCTTGAGAGAAATTGGATGTTCCAAAGGTGAAAGCTGGAGAGAAAGGAGAGAAGCTGAATACTCCATGGGAAAAGAATGATAGAGACGGAGAACATCTTAGAGAAGGGAGAGAGAACTCAGATAAGACTAGGGTGACCAACCATCCTGTTTTGACTAGACCTGAGAAGTTTCCTGGATGTGAAGTTCTCAGTGCTACAACCAGGAAAGCCATGGCTATATGAGAGGTGGCACTGGATTTTTCATTTTAATTCATTTTTACTAATTTAAATTTAAATAGCTACATGTGGCTAATGGGTACTGTATTGGACAGCACAGTGACCAAACACCTAACATAAACACAAGAAGATGGCTTTCTTGCATATATACATTTCCTCTTCTGTTTACTAATATGGAAAGAATTTTAAAGCATATTAAAAGAGAAATATATGAGAGTAGTAGCTCAGATCCTGAAGTTAAATATTTGCTATCAAGCCCATGTGCTAATGTGAATAACTATCACTAATGTGATAAAAATTATTCATAAATAAGGGCACCTGGGTGGCTAGTCAGTTAAGTGTCCTACTCTTGACCTTGGCTCAGGTCGTGATCTCGTGGTTCATGAGATCGAGCCCTGCACCTGGTTCAGCACTGTAAGAGCAGAGTCTGCTTGGGATTCTCTCTCTGTCTCTGTCTCTGTCTCTGTCTCTCTCTTTCCCTTTCTCTCTCTGTCTCTGTCTCTCTCTCCCTCTCAAAATAAATAAACTTTAAAAAATTATTCAGAAATATGGAACAAATCTGTGAGGATAAAAAAAACTGTCATTTTTTTTCCAGGACATATGATAGTTGCTGATACAAATGACAGGGAATAAATGTTAAGGCAACCACACTCCCTCACCTAGCTCCTCTCTTAATCAATAGGAAGTACTTTGCAAAAATGTTGCAATAGACCTGTAACCACATCAGAAATCTGGAAAAGAACAATGCTACTGGACTATGGGAATCCTGACCTTGATGTCTTGAACAGCACTTCCTAAACCTTTAGCTGACAAGTACAGAGTACAGAAAATAAATTATGTTTATTGTGGAATTACATTTCCCCAAAGGTCAATTTTTGCATGGTAATATTCTCATTCCAAATGCAAACATATAAATGTCATTTTAAAAAGTTATAGAAAATAAAATGTTCATAATTACAATATAAAGTTTATATTTGTAGAATAAAACTGAATATTAAGAAAGAAGAATTATAGAGACAAAGACTGATCAAAATATAATTACTTTGAATGTTATCACATTCAAATATAAATATAAACAAAAGAAAATGATGAGTTGTAATGGTTCATTACTTAGATGGAAAAGGCCATCTGTTGAGTAATTCAATTTTTTTCTCTTGAAATGTGGGATATGAAATTATAGAACATTAACTTGGCAGACTTAACATGGACACTTGATTATGATAAAGACAAGTATTTAAAGTCCTTAAGCTTTCAGTACCTAATCCACTTTAGCAAAGTATGAGTTATTCTATTTCTCTTCGAAAGATGCAATAGCAAAAGGTAGCACAGGACACTTAGCCATCTTGTCCTGACAAATAACCAATTCACCTTTTTTTCCCAGTATATTCTTAAGTATTGATTTTAACAAGTGAACTCAGACATGTGTCACACTTATCCAATACAGATCCTTTTCCTTGGAAATGTAGTTTGAACATCAATCAGTCACCTGGCCTTTCACCTCTAATTCCTATTGCCACTATCTGTCAATTATTAAAGCCTTGACTATTTCTCTAAATAACTTATTTTTTTAACTGAAATACATATTGACTCCTGTTAAAAATATATGTTTATTGGAAAGGTATGCAATGTTCACCTGATTAAATTTCTCCATTAAAATTGCTTTCTGGAGTTGGAAACTACTTAAGGTTATAAATCCACTTTTCAAAGGCCTCTAGGTATTTTCTTTTAAAACATACTTCCTGAATGGTAATATTAGCACTTGCAAGCCAAACTCCAGTTTGAGAAAGACAATATTAAAAGAAATTCAAGCTGAGTGGCATTGTTAGAAGGGTCTTCAAATGGTGCAGAGTGTTTTCGTCTCTAACTGAACCCAGTGAGAGTTACAGAATGACACCCACCTTGAGCTGCAGGCCTCCTGGGATAAGAGTGTTTGCTGGAAGGCTTTTAATGTGTTGGTAGACATAAGAGGAGAATTGCTCCTGCTCAGCCTGTAATTGGGGGCCAAGTTTAGAGAGATGACCTCTGTTGCTTTTGATAGCTGTCTGCAATTCATCAATCAGCCTGCTAACCTGAAGGGGTTAAATTACAAGAGTTGTTAGCAAGAAGTAATTGTTGATGTCACACCTATTAGATTTTTGAGTACCTAGTTTGATGGGAGGAAAAATGACTTCAAAACAAGAATTTGAGTATAGATCCATCTTCAAGTAAAGAGAACAGAAAAGATATGCATTCCTCCATAGACTAATTTTATTTAAGAGAAAATTTATAACCTTTGCACTTCAGGTAGCCATTTACAATTGCTGAATGAAAAATGTCTCTGGATATTAAAAAGAAACATGCTCCTGACACATTTGCAAAGGACTTCTAAACTGATTAACAAAACAAAATCTTCCTAAGACTTCAATTAATCCAAAATACGCACCAATGACAATATTTAATTTTATATGAACAATGTGTTATGTAGATTTATATTTTCTCTAATAGACTGGATTCTTACACAAACACTAGTTGATATATAGTAGTGACCAAAAGAGAGTAAAAGGTTAAATTCACTTTATCTATGACTCTTTAAAGTGATTAAATTAGACCTACTTAGAACTATGAATGACTCTGAATTCAGAGCATGGTCTTTTTTTTGAAATATTGGGTTAAAAATCATGACTCTTCCCATGTACTAACTGACAGACTGTGAACAGGTAATAAAACCCTCATCTGTAATGAAGAATAATAACAGCTTTGTTAAGAATTAAATGAGATTACAGAATGAACAACACAATGTCTAATTTACAGTAGATGCCTAATACACATTATATTATTATAGTTCTTTTTAAAATCTAGGTGTTTTCTGCACATCAAGTTTTAGTTGTTTTTCTTGGTGTATCCTTCTTATCCCTAATCTACTTCACATAATGCAGATAAAAATTTGAAACTATTTGCTACATAGATTCTCCATCTCACTTCAACATCCATAGTGAAAAATGGGAAATTGTTCTCCAAGAGTCTCCCTCATCCTTTTTCTCTCTTTTTCAACAGAAAATATAGTATTTTCCCCAGTCTGTACTCTAACTCTGATGTTAACATGATTTTTATACCTTCTGCAGAGAATTTCTAAGAAGTCAATGAAAGCAAGTTTGTAGTAACATCCATGTAATTTGAATATTAATTTTTCTATTCTATGTAGTTAGTTCAAGATTATGTATGTTTTTATAAGTGTGTGTATATATTCACACTTCAATTACACTTAACTTTTTCCAAGAACTTTAGAAGCATTGTGTGCATATGAACAAGCTAATTGAAATGATTCCCATTTTTCTTTGGTCTTTTATATCTCTCTTATTTGTCCCTATGTCATCAATCATCTACTTCTTTTGAAAACACCTTCTCCTAAATAAAGAATTGGCAAACTTTTTCTCTAAAAAGGGATAGATAATAAATATTTTCAGGTTTATGGGCCATAATCTCCATCAAAACTATTCGATCCTGCAGTTGTACTTTGAAAGCAGCCACAGACGACATGTAAATAAATAGGCATGACTGTATTCCAATAACACTTTTTTTAAGTTTATGCATTTATTTTGAGAGACAGAGCATGAGTGGGGAAGGAGCAGATAGAGAGGGAGAGAGAGAATCCCAAGCAGGCTCCACTCTCTCAGTGCAGAGACAGACACCAAGCTCAAACTCATGAACCTTGAGATCTTGACCTGAGCTGAAATCAAGAGTCAGACGCTAAACTGACTGAGGCATCTGGGCTCCCCTCCAATAACATTTTATTTAGAAAAAAATAATCAATGGGCTGAATTTGGTCTTACAGCTGTAGTTTGCCAACCCCTCTTCCAAATTCATATATTTGTTCTCCTACCTTCCCCTTCTTATAAGTAATACTCTGGTCCATGCCCTCTTCTCCTCATTCTCTCCTCCTACTTGCATTACCAAAACAAGTGAGTTTTGAATGGTCTACTGAGTGGTCACCCCACCTCAAATTCATCCTGTCAACTCCACCAAATTAATCTACTTTAAATAGCATATTGAACCCTCCAGTTACTTCCCCAGATTCCTCAGCATGGTATTCAAGATTAAAGATCTATTTTCTGGAATGAATCTCTCTGCTTTTCCATAGTATTGTTAACTCTATTATAAAGTTGTAACATTTATAATATAGAAATGATAAGTGATCCAATATTAATCTGTTTCCAGGCTTGTATTCACTATACCACCCTCCAATATTATCCTCAAAAATGATGGATAATATGTATCATACCAAAACTAGAAACCAAAACAGGCCAAATTCCTTGCTTTTATAGTTATCTGACAAAATTTAAATCCAAGAACCAAAGTCCTTAAGTAGAAAGACTTCAGATGCCAATTCTCCAAACCACCAATCCTCTCTGAACCTAACTCTAGCCCCAGCATCATATAATTCAAAAAAACATACTTTGATATAGTCTTTAAAGTATACTAAATATCATTTGTGTATTATGCTACTCAGTAATTTTGCTTTCTTCAGTTTTATTTACTATATTTTACACTATAGAAAACTGCACACACACAAAAAGAAGAATTTCAGGCTTTGAATTGAGAAGATTTTTATACATGACTGGTTTTACTGTCACAATCCATAGCCTTTCACAGATAGAGGATTTCATGTGACATCAGAAATCAACCAACCATACAATTGATGATGTCATTTGCATTCTAAAGGGCTATTGGTTAGAGCCTTAAAACTTTCATTTCTATGAATCCTTTGTTGCTTCAAAAAATGTCTCTATCATTTTTGCTATTTCAGTTGTTCCATGAATATCTGTTAATGCATATATAATTATAACAAATAACACCTTTGTTTTAATAAGTTAAAACTATGAAATAAGATATCCTAGCAAAAATTAATATATATTAAACATGGGAGAAAACATATCAGGAATCCTGCTACTGACATTTTGATAAAATTTCTATCCAATTTTATAAAAACTTTGTTTCTTTACATATTCATAAGATACTTAAAATATATTCAATGTGCTACATTTTGTTTTCAGTTATGATATTACCCTGAAAGATAACCCTAAACATAAAATAACTCATATACCTAAAATTGGATAAGTAATACAATAACCCTGAATTATTTTACATAATATGATTTTTTTTCAAATCACAGATGTTGCTAGAAGGGGAAAAATACTCTTTAAAATTCTTCGTCATGAATCTTTTTTTTCCTGCAAATCCGTTTTTTTTTCTCTCTCTCTACAAAGGCAATGTGAATAGGGGTAAAAGGAGACAAAACTTGACCTTTTGTGATCCCAGCATTAATGGGTCTGTTCATAATTCAATCTATGTGTGTGTGGGAGCATCCATGTGGAAACATAGAGGCCTGAGAGACATAAAGCCTTTCCCTTTAAACATTATCTGACCCTATCAGTCCCATTCACAAAAGAAGGCTTACGTATGCATATGTTGAAATAATGCACCATCTCATTGTGCAGCAGAAAGCCTACACATTCTACTCTTCATTCTCCGTGGAAATGCAGCACGGAAGTGACACTTGTACAGAATTTGGGAGAGTGACAAATGAGCAGAAGGTAGCAAAAAAAATGAGTATTTGATGAGGAAAAGACCAAACTTCTGAAAGAATGCAAATGCACACCTGTCTATAAACATACACGGAGGTTTTTGCTTAAAACCCTACATTAAGTAGTTTGGTCATGTTTTTATGACATATTCATGTAACTCTTGAATTTGTTAAATTCTCGAAATGATGTAGATGATTTAGATTTAGATTTTAGCACAAACTAGTATTCTGTTCCTAATCATTCTAAAATGTATGCATATTGAAGTACATTCTGAACTATACATTCTGTACATTGTACTTTGGCTACTATGAATAATGCTTTGAGGATCTCCTGGTTTTTCTCATGATGAGTTCAGCTCTTTGCCAGATTGCTATTTGCTCCTGAGTCTATCTATGTTAGTAAGGAGGACTCCAGAGAACTTGGCACTAAATTATCACTTGAAATCAGCACAAAGGGCAGCAGCCTCTGTGCAAGGAATGTCATCTTGACATACAATACATGGGAGGTGGTCTCCAAGCTAGGTCAGTGCTTAAACTTAAGGAAAAGAAACTTTCTAATTTATGACATAATTAAGAAGAACCGGAAAGGGGACAGGGAGATGAAAATGGGTATTTTAAATTGCCTAAAATCTATTCTTTCTTTCAGGCCCAAGGACACAGTGTTTCCAGGTTAAAAAGAAATATAACCCAGACTTGATGAACAAAGACTAGAAAAGACATGAGAGCCTATGAGAAAAGTTAAATATCTCTTGATTTAGAAGGATGGGTTGCAGTGTAGCTACTAGAGAACTTCAAGTGTGCACCACCTCTTGTTCATGTCACTTTAAATGCTCCCAACTTTTTAATAGTTTCTAGAACGCTTTTGAAATGGAAAATATCTTGGAAGAAGATATATCTTGTTTCCAGCCAGAGGGCCCTTCTGTGTGCTGCTTTTCAGCCTATTCAAGAGTCTAACATTCTCATACACTCATAGAGGAAGGAGCCATTACAACAGGGATATTTTAAATATTTTAATTCCAGCATAGTTAACATATAGTGTTATATTAGCTACAGGTGTACAATGTAGTAATTCAAGTGTTCCATATATTATTCAGTGCTCATCAAGGGAAGTGTACTCTTATTCCCCTTCACTTAAAATATATTTGTAATGTCTTTACGAGACTATGTTGAGGGCAATAAGAATGTCAACTACGCATTTTTAGGAAACAATAAGAATGTGCCTTATAGGCCTCTAACTACAGGAGCATAATAAACCAAGAGTCCCAGATACTGTGCTTTGAAATCCATCGCCAGGTTGATACCAATGGCTGAGGATACTGAAGTGGGTCTAACTCAGGGAGTCATAGCACTCCTCTGAAGGACAGCTTTAGGTCAAGAATACACCATCAGCTTCACCAAATCTTCCTAAAAGGGCACCACTGTCTAAGATGTTTCCATCCAGTCTTACCTTTCTCTCTCCTTCACTTGTGTTCAAGCCTGCATTTCAGTCTGAGGGTCTCCCAGTCTTACCCAAAGCTTTCCCCATTTTTTCTCATAGGCATTTCTTCTAATACAATACATACATATCTAACCCTATCGTGGTATTTACTTTTCAGAGAACCTGAAATAACTTTTGAACCAACAATAACACATTACACACATATTTCCAATAAATCATTTCCAAAAATTAGTTTAACATATAACATCACCTCAAAGTAATCTTATGATGCATTCATTATTATTATTTCCAGTTTTCATGTGAAAAAACCACATGAAATAAAACAAGATTTTAAGATAAAACTATAAGCAGCAAGAATCTAAATATCAGATTTTATAGTGTTTAGTTTGAATTTTGAAATATGTCTAGAAATACAATCTTTTTATAAAAATAAACAGTGGGCAAAATAAATTTTGAAGTAATTCTCCCTCCCCCAATCTTTTATTTCTCTTCACCATCATGATTTCACATTCTGTATGGGAATTAGGGTCAAAACTTGATGTCACTTACTTTTTCTAAGCAAACACTAGAAATTACACACCATGATTAAAAACTTTCAAAGTTATAACATAGAAATTATTCCCATAGCATACAGAATATATTTAGAGACTCTTACATACATACCCACACACACACTCGCAAAATACACAAAATATATTCCCTTTCCTGCATATTTGATTTTTTAAGCAAACAAAAGGCATTTGAAGCCATAGCTGATCAAACAATCAGGTGATCAAATAAGGTACTGTACAGGAAGAACACTGAAGTATAGAGGTATTAAATAAACATTAAGAAGATAATGAAGAAGAAATAACAAATAGACATAGATACTGTTGGATTTTCCAGAAAAGATAATATTCATTTCCAGTGTTGCTAACAAGGTGGCATTTGAAATGACATATTTAGCATAATGATAATTTTCTTGGGCCACTTCAAGTTTTCAGTTCCACTGAAATTATAGTTTGCATAAAATATGAAAAAACAAACTAATTACAATACTTAAAAGGCAGAAAACATCTATTTGTTCATTCTTTCAGTTTATTTTATACTTAATCTCTAATAATAATTTGTTATTATATTATATTATTGATATAATTTTAATGCTACCAAGTAAACTAGAGATATTTATTTCCATTTCTTAAAGTTTACCATTTCAAAATACATGATAGATTCAGTTTAAATTGCAGTGAAAATGTAATAAAACTCTCCAACTATGATAAAAACATTTCTAAATAGAGAATATTTTAAAACTTATAGTTAAAAATCTAGTCTTTTAACTTGTTAATATTAAGTAGAATGAGTAAGAACCATAACTTAAATCTATACAATTGTTATTTGTTACATCTAGAAACTATTCAAGTTGAATTTATCTTATAAAATATTCTCTACTGAGATTACCAATCTATGCTTACAATATAGTCTTTAAAACTGGACATATATAAATCCCAAATATTAATATAATCTCTAATTCGGAGATTTGAATTCTCTGAGGAAAATTTGATGCATTGTACCTGTTCACTTTTTGTAAAATACATAGCAGGACAGATGCAATCAAAATGATAAAATATTAAAACCCCAAAGCTTGGATAGATCTCTTTGCCAAAATGTCAAAAGAGAATGACATGAAAGTTTAATTTTCAAATATTCACATTACCTTATTCTTTAAGTTGATTATGATTTTATTTACTGACAGTGGTACATGGGAATTAGCAAATTCATGATCTCTCCTCAGAAAGATTAAATGGTTTTACATTCCAGGAAACTACATGAAAATCATTTCCCCCTTTTGTCTAACACCAATTTTGTATTATTATTTCATTTATGGGATATGCTGTCAACTTCACAGCATGAGCTTTGGAGAGAAGAAGGTTTGCTCTAATAGTTCTTCATTATAATATTGCCTACAGAATCTTATGATTAGCTCACTTAAGCTTGACATTTGTAAACTACAGGTTTTCCTCGCTAGGAGATAACATTGTTAGCATTTCTAAAATTCAGAACAATAATTCCCTTCCTAGAAAGTCAGAAAACAAAAATAAGACTTAGTACTTATTCAAAGTTTAATAAAATTTTAATCTTTTCCCTATGTTAGCATGTGTTATAACTTGCAGATTCAATTTTCATGTAATAATTTCCTAATTTGGGAAATATATGTGAAAGTTGTCAGAGGTATTTTCAGAAAATTACAATATTTATTCTTTCAATCATATAATTATTTTTCAAGCTGCCCAGATCAATTAAATGCCTCCAGGTTGACCAATTTTTTCCATTTTGTTGCTATCAGATAACTATAGCTGGCTCACTATCAGACCAAAATAAAATATGTCTTAATTTTAAAATGAGCACTCATTATAGTTTTGTAATATAGCTTAAAAGGTAAGTTTCTTACTTCTTCTTGTGCCTTGTGGTGTTCCTTTGCTGTTATTGAAAGAATTACTTTTTCAGTAATTTTCTTTTTCTGTTCCTCTATAGCCAAATTCAACTAGGAAAAAAAATAAATTGTGTGAAAATAGGCACCTACTGACACCTAACTCCAACATTTATTCAAACAACCAATTTAGCATAATCATGGAAGGTAATTTCAAACTAATTTGGCCCATACTTATATGAAAATGAACTCCATTTAGAGTAACTTGAAAGTTCATTATTATATTTAAAACATTTAACACTGAATCTTTCACTTCCATTTTTATTGCTTTAAGTTTACTAAAATATGATTTGGGAGAAGATCCTTAATTGCAGACATTTGATGAATACTTTTTAAAAAGTATTTCATCAAAATGAGCATAGCATTTTTTTAAATGAGGCTGACCATTTCCTATTAAAATTTTTCATTGCCAATAGCAGATAAATTGGCTGCTAAGAATAAAAATCAGAATAAAAATTCAGGAACATAAACTGAAAGCTAATGTCAATTCAAACACTCTAGAACAGTTCAAAATGATTTACAGTATTCCATGACAAAAATAATGTATCTTAAATACCTGAACAGTTACCTCCAACCTGATCCACTTACAAAGGCAGATAAAGATCTACTATTGCTGCTAACCCATATGTTATGAAAAGGTCAATGTGTCTGTCCTGTATTTCTTTATAAATAATCCCCATTGATACAGAATGCTATTTTCAATGAAAGGAAAAAGCTGAACTCACACAATAATATTCACTCAGCAAACTGGTATTAATAGAAAGAAAGAAACAGCCTAATACTAAACCTTCTGAATTAGAATATTTAACAATTCTCAAGCAATGGACTTGCCATGTTGTATCTCCTTGCTGAGTATTAAGACTAAATAATGACCATGTCTTTGTTTTGTTTTGCTTGTATTAATGTTGTTGCTTTAAATCGTGTTTCTCCGTTGTATGCGTGGCAAATAATGTTTGAGTTAACATGAATCCTTAATCCATACCCTGCCTAAAGACTCACATATTTGAGATTAAATGGGGGTGGGAATCAATAATACAGTTTCCTCAATCTAGTTATGGATATATGATATAAGAATAGTACCAAACCTGTGAACTCTTCATCCACGGATAGGTGATACAGCTCAATATATCCTAAATTCTGGTAGAGGGTAAAAGCACAGGAATCCTTAGGTGATTCTGATGATCACCCTAGATAAGGAGTTGACAAACATTTCTGTAAAGGGCCAGAGACTAAATACTTTAGGCTTGGGTGGTAGGGCATATAGTCTCTGTTGAAATTACTCAATTATGCCCTTATAGCATGAAATAGACAACACATAAGGGAATGAATCTAGCTATGCCTCAATAAAACTTAAAAAACAAACAAACAAGTGGCAGGCTTAATTTGATCAGCATGCAACACTTTCTGATCCCTGTCCTAGATTGAGAACTGCTAAAAACAAGTTTGTTAAAAATAATCATCATGTAATATACAACATGATGACTATAGTTAACAATGCTGAATGGTATGTTTGAGACTTGTTAAAAGAGTAGATCCTAAGAGTTCTCATCCCAAGGAAAAAACACAGTGCTTTTCTTGCGTGTGTGTGTGTGTGTCTGTCTGTGTCTGTGCCTATATGAGATGATGGATGTTAAACTTCTTGTGGTAATCATTTCACAGTATATATGAAAGTCAAGTTATTATGCTGTCTACCTTAAACTTATACAGTGCTCTAAGTCCATTACATCCCAATTAATCTGGAAAAAAAATCATTATGTGGAACTATTCTTAGGATCACTTTCCTCAAAGAATATTTTTTCCTGTACTGAAGTAATATAAAAACCATAATATGAAAAAAAAAAGTCAAATATCCACCTCATGGAAGTCTGTGTGTAAGTGATGGCACAACATAGTTGTGTCAAGTCTCTATGGCTATTTCTTTATGGGGGGATTCTCATCTCAGGGGGAGATGGGTGAAGGAGAGGAACTGGGATATATTCACCAAGCTCATCCATTTTTTTTACAAAATTAATTTCCAAATGCACAAACATTCAGAGCAGATCTTTCTCGCAGAGAAGCAAAACATAACAAAAACAGAGCTACTAAACTCTCTGGTGCCACAGCAGTAAGTCAGATTTTAATGAGGCTTCCCAGGGCCATGACATTTAGAACTACTTCCACATAACTCTTTAAAAGGTGGGGATTCTTTACCTTCAAAAGCACCACAGTTGGAAAAATCACCTCCATTCTAATATTCAACTTCTAAAAAAGCACTATACCAATCTATATAAGCTGAGGACTAAATATATCAACATTACTGGAAAACATCATATACATACCAAATGGAGAATCCAGCAAGGTATTGAGAAACGATAGTTAACAAAATATAAAGATACACACATGTTTTCTGGAAACAGACTAGCCATTCCAAAAGAGATTTTAATACAATCATTTAGAGAAAATTATGGAAAGTAAAAAGTCAAATTCAGAGAGTGTATTTACATTATGAGTTATTAGTAATATGCAATGCAGGGGTGCCTGGGTGCTCAGTCAGTTAAGCATCTGGCTCCTGATTTTGGCTCAGGTCATGATCTTGTGGTTCATAAGTTCGAGCCCTACATCGGGCTCTGTGTTAACAGTGGGAGAGCCTGTTTGGGAGTCTCTCTATTCCTCTCTCTGCACCTCCCCTGCTCATGCTCTCTCTTTCTCTCAAAATAAATAAATAAAAACTTTAGAATCTTTAAAAAAATAATACGCAGTATAATAGCATCTTTTTTTCAAGCCCATGTCATGACAACAATCATGGGATTTTTCTCTCCTGTCACTTTGGAGAATAAGATCTTATTTCTTCATTATGATAAAACTGTGTGCTTTTGATTTACTGTTCTCATCTAAAATGTATGAAATAATTTTTGTCAATGGGTTCAAAATTTCTGAGGCTAATTTGTCATATATAAAGGGGGTAGAAATTTCAAATTAAAAATAAAAAACAAGGGTATTGTCCTAAGTGAAATAAGTCAGAGAAAGACAAATACCATATGATCTCATTTATGTATTCAATCTTAACCACCTTTCCCCCCAAAAATATCAAGCTCATAGATAGAACAGATTGCTGATTGCTAGGAGAAGATGTGGAAAGAAACAAGTAAAAGACTGGAGAGTAAATCTTAAAAATTCTCATTATACACATACACAAAATTGTAATGTTGTATGGTGACAGATGTTAACTAAGTTTATTGTGGTTATCATTTTGCAACATATACAAATATCAACTCATTATGTTGTACACCTGAAACTAATATAATGTTATGTCAATTATACCTCAACAAAAAAATAAACAGATGATGGCTAAACTTTGTATGTAACTATGAAAAGCCAAATCTCTACCAAACAAGGAAGTGAGAAACAGTCACTTTGTTCTAACTATAGCTTACTCTTTTTAAATATAAGAAAATACCCTTAAGTATTCATTGTGTACATCAAAATCTAAAGCTAAATAGGAAGGTTAAATTTACCATTTTTGTCAGGTCTTGTAGCTAATATTTTAAAAATATATAACAAATATAAGCTATCCAAAATTAAGTTAAAGTTGATCTCATTAATATTAATGGCAACCAGACTAGAACAATCAAGAGACTAGTGAAAGACCATAGCAGAAATGGAAAAAACAAGAAACATAATGCCTCTGTCAAGTAAAACTGAACAGAAAATGATTCAAAAAATCCTCTGTTTAGAGAAACAAGATTAAAAAGAAGTAAGTTCCCTTCAGTCTGTTCAGGATTAAGAAAAAAAGTCCACAGAACTATACCTGAAGCAACAGGTTTCAATGAAATGATTTCCAATGAGCGTTACTTTTCTGACTGTATCTATTTTACATAAAACTATTAATGCAAAGGTAGCAGGCAGTATACTTGCTCTAAAGCCCAAAGGATCATAGTTTGGTAATATATAGTTCTATATAACATATGTAGCCTGTTGTGACTATAATAAAAAGTGCTCTTAACTTGAGGAATTCTTCAAACATTTTCTGGCTCGGGAAGCTCAACTGTGGACATCCTAGAAAGGACAACAGACTCAAGACCTTCTACTGGAGAAATATAGACAGAACAGCAGTGATCTTTTGTGTGTGTCATTAACAGTACACAGCTTTTCTTGTTTTTTTTTTAACTCCTCCCCCAAATATTTTAAGGTATATTTATAAAACTTATAAAGATTGTGTAAAAATTTTAACATGACAGTAAGATCAAATAAAATATATTTTATAGGAGAAAATGGCTTTAAACTCTAGAGTCCAATTATTAATAGTTTTTTAAAAGGCACAGTAATCAAACAAGCTGGTATGTTCTGTCTACTTAACTTCATATTAACATTCTAGATAGGTGCTAAGCAAAGAGCCCAATCATACTCTCAGTGCTCTGGACTATAGTTCTGCATGTACTTTTCTCTGTATTCAGAAGAACAGCTAGTGATTCAATTGTGAAGTAGATGGTATGTATTGTATATGATGTCCATAATAAATCAATGTAACCCAACAAGAAAACTGAATATATCTTTCTATCAAAAATCTAACTTTTTGGATAATACATTGATTAAATAATAAATTATCTGATCCATATTTTACATGCAGATCAATATAGGCAATACAGTTTAACATAAACAACAGGACAATCAGCCTTCATATATATTGACATGTTTCCCAATGGTCTGTTAATATACAAAAGACTGGGACAAATTACTTATTTATATATACAAAACATGGTTATAAAGGCCAGCTGCAGGTATTTTTTTGGAAAGTGCATTTTAATAAGGTCCTATTCATTTAGGGAACAAATGGGGAAGAAGTAGTTTGCACTACAGAGTTTAGCGCAAGAGCTTTCTCTTTTTCTAACCACAAAATCAATCATTTGTCCAGACTGTGGGAGTCAGAGTTAGTTACTGAAAAGAGCTCCGTATATAAACAAGTCAATAACTCATTGTGTGTTATTGTTGAGCTGAAGAAGTCGGCTTTCAAAAAGCTGCCCCTGCTTCTCTCAGAATGAATGTCACTGTATTCAGAGACTGGGAGAGAGTCCTTTGTTTCCAGCCATTGCTGGCTGCCATTTATGTATGGGAACAGGAGGTTGGCTGCTACGAGTGTGGGGAAGCCACTATGTGGTATCATGGATGTCCAGGAAAAACTGAATTTTGCCAACCTAAATCATTTGTGTCTGAAAATCCCTTAATGGAAGTGATACAGAGTAGCCATACAAACAAAAATATTTGGTAAAGAATTAAAATGATAATGAGTCTGTATCATTTTAAATTGAATCAGGCTGATGTTTTTGGTTCCCTACTTGTCAACAAAGATGAAACCAAAACATAGGCAATGGTTTGAAAAGTTTAAAAGTACAAAATTTAACTGGTGAACAGGTCGATATGTCAAATGAACACTATCTGTTTGGGCCATTAATATTAAGGACAATGCAATTCTTGAAACTCTCAAAGTGTGTGTGTATGTGTGTGTGTGTGTGTGAACTTCTCTAAGGCATGATTTTAAGTGTTCAACACTTTTGACAAGTTAAGGAAATTTGAACTATTTATTACTTAAATATCCTTTAGAATTGAACCGAATGTAAAATTCATAAAATTCATAAGATATAAATATTACCATAATCTTATTTATCTTAATATTTATTAAAAACTTACTAATTTATTTAAAATCAAACTAGGGAATGTGAAGGTGCAGCAGACCAGGACTCAGATTTATAATTAGACTGAGCAAATAAAAAATACATGTAGATCTGTTTAATAAATGGTCCTCATTTGGGGCTGGGGGAAGATGGTCTCTGAAATCTTTAAACAAAAGCTTAGCTCTTAATTAGGTAAAGTCGGGAATGTAGGTAAAGAAAGATCTGAGAACCTAGAGCTGAATGCAACTGATGCCATTTCACCTCACAATTTAGAAAGCCATGGCATTAAATAATATAATATGCTTCCACATGTAACAACTGTGCTAGACATTTGCTACGTACAAATTGGTTAATAGCAAAGTGAGATATAATTGAGAACACAATGAAAACAATAGGAAGTGAGAAATAATGTATGCATGATGTAGATCATAATTAATTGTCAAATGGAGGTATGAACAAAACAATCTTACAAGTACAAAGGACAAAAAATAT